ATTGGGAAGGCCTCTGTTCCCACAGAAGGGGGAAGGCAAGGGGTGTCCCAAGACCTCATCTGCCTGCAGCATCACACCGACAGCCTGGCCTTGGCTTCTGATTATTTGCAACTGTGATGGATGTTTACAGGAACCCAGCCAGAGTTTGCCTCCCTGCACTTCACCCTGGAGCGTACCTGCTTCCCCCACTTCACCTTCTGAGAGGACGCTTCAAACTGTGGACACACGAAAAAGTGACTCCCAGCTCCATTTGATGTGAGTTGAGCCTTCAGGCCAGCTGGGTTTAGCCCAAGGCTGGTCTTAGATGCAGAGACTGTTTCAGGGAGTGACTCAGAAGAAAAAGAAGCCGAGGAAGCTGTCGGGGTGCTGAGGGTGGGATTCTCGATTCTTCATTTCAGGTTACTCGTTCTTCAGCAAGTTGGCAAAACAAGTTCCTCATGCTGGGGAGCGCCACGTGACTCCCCTGGCTGGAAATGCTTTTCTGAAAGCATGAGTGGTGCCTACTTGATTCTGATAAACCTGTTTAAGCAATATTTAGGAGGCTGACTTCTTTGGATTAAACAAAAATGTATGCAACTCCAAGCCCTGGGGTCCTGCCTTTTTTTTTTTTTTTTTTTTTTTTTTTTTTAACTTTGAGATTCGGGAAAGGAGTTTTAGGCAGAACCTTGTGATTGACAAACAGCAGAAGATCAGGGCCTCCCAAGTTGGAGATCCTGCAGGGTTCGGAGAGGCTGCCCCAGCTGGGCTGACGTGAGTCCCAGGCTGGCTCTCTGACCTGCTCCACAAGCCAGGGACAGTATTTGGGGTGTGGTGGGAAAAGCCTAAAGGCCAAGCTGGAAACAGGGCCTGAACCCCGTAGAAGTGGGAGTAGGTATCCCCTGTGCCAGGCACATGGTAGACCTTCATTAAAGATAGCAGGGAAGGGCTTGGCATGGTGACTCACACCCGTAATCCCAGCACTTTGGGAGGCTGAGGTAGGCAGATCACTTGAGGTCAAGAGTTTGAGACCAGCCTGGCCAATATGGCAAAAACACATCTCTATTAAAAATACAAAAAATTAGCCAGGTGTGGTGGGGCACACCTGTACTCCCAGCTACTTGGGAGGCTGAGGCAAGAGAAGTGCTTGAACCGGGGAGGCAGAGGTTGCAGTGAGCCAAGATCACACCACTGCACTCCAGCCTGGGTGACAGAGCAAGACTCTGTCTCACCAAAAAAAAAAAAAGGAAGGACTAAATGAATGAGTGGAATTGGGTCAGCTTGCAGTTCTGTGGAATACTAGCAGTAATTCTCTCCAGTTTGCAGAGTACTTGATTTTCAAAGCACCTTCACATACACACCAAGTGAAGCAGGGTACCAATGATTAACCCCATTCTACAGGTGAGGAGACTGAGGTGTGGGGGAGTACAGGTACCCCGGAACTCTGGGGGAAGACAATTACAGCACCACTTGCCCTCATGTGATTCTAAATAAAGAAGCGAACTGGGCATGGTGGCTCACCCTTGTAATCCCACACTCTGGAAGGCCGAGGTGGGTGGAACACCTGAAATCAGGAGTTCGAGACCAGCCTGGCTAACATGGTGAAACCCCATTTCTACTAAAAATACAAAATTAGCTGAGCGTGGTGGCAGGCACCAGTAATCCCAGCTGCTCGGGAGGCTAAGGCAGGAGAGTAGCTTGAACACGGGAGGCAGAGGTTGCGGTGAGTGGAAATTGCGCCATTGCACTCCGGCTTGTGTGACAGAGCGAGATTCCATCTCAAAAAATAAAGAAAAGAGAAAAGCTACAAAATCCAAAAAGAAGACATTTGAGAGGCCCAAGGAAAAAGGTGAGCGTGAAGAGGGAGGCATGCATGGAGAGAGAGGCCTAAGAGGAAAAGTGAGCCTTTGGAAGGTATGCAGACTTAAAAGCCACTGACATGGATGTCACCATCACGCCCTGATTCCTCTGAGCAGTGCTTCACCACCTGAAATACGGGGCTCAGGGGCACTTCCGGCACACCGTGCCTGTGCCTGCAGAGAGGTCCTCCTAAGAAGTCAGAAGTCTATTCCTGTATAGGAATGTGACAAGTATCACTTACATCTGTGACATGGGGACAGTAATTTATCCACATCTTATGACAACTTTGTGTTAACTACAAAAAGGTGCCCCTCTGGGTTAAAAGGCTCCACACCAGGACTCCCAGCTCGGCAAGCAGAACCCAGACTGTTTTGCAGCCCCCATGTTCCCCCTCATCCAGGTGCCTTTGTGCAGTGTCCAGACTGGCCAACCTCCCCTGGCAGCCCTGTCCAAAGAGATTTTTTAGTTTGCTAAAATATAAGACTCCCCAGGGCAGGAACATCTTATTCACAGCTGTACTCAGTACATATTTGTAGAATTAATAAAGCAAAGTTAGGTGAGGATTATTTGTTCATTCTGTGTATACTGAGCACCTATTATACACAGATGCCTTGCTGGGTGCAGAGGGCACAGCAATGTACAAAGCAAGCTGTTTCTCACCCTCCTGGAGCTCATGTCCCAGCACAAGAGCAGACAATACCTAAATAAGTGAAAAAGACAAATTAGCGATGGGTCAGAGAGTAGGATAAGTCCTGGAGGATGAGAAGTCAGCCATACAGAGAGCTGGGAGGAACATTCCAGGCAGAGGCAAGAACGAAACACAGATGTGTGTAATAATGACAGCCAACATGTTACTGAGCTCTAGTTCTCAACGTTTTAGCTCGCCACACCTTCACATAATCCCATAAAGAAGGTACTGTGATTATGCCCATTTTACAAATGAGGAGACTGAGGCACAGAGAACCAGCTTGCAAAATTGAGTGGTAAGCTAAGCATTGAGCCCAGGCAACCTCGTTCTAGAGTCTCTGCTGCTTGCCCCTAGATTGTCATCCCTCTTGAGCAGGAGTTTAGGACGGTGCGTGCCATGCAGTCATCACAATCGCTAATGCTTACTGTTTCCAATTTCCCTTGTACTGTGGTAAGTGCTATCAGCTCATTAAATAAACAGTAGCAGCTGGGCGCAGAGGCTCACACCTGTAATCCCAACACTTTGGGAGGCCAAGATGGGTGGATCACCTGAGGTCAGGAGTTTGAGACCAGCCTGGCCAACATGGCAAAACTCCATCTCTACTAATAATACAAAAATAAGCCAGGTGCGGTGGTTCCCACCTGTAATCTCAGCTACTCGGGAGGCTGAGATGTGAGAATCACCTGAACCCAGGAGACAGAGGTTGCAGTGAGCCGAGATCATGCCACTGTACTCCGGCCTGGGCAACAAGAGTGAAACTCCATCATAATAAAATAAAATAGTAAACAGTAGCTATCACACACGAATAATTACTATGAATAACTGCAGACTCTGACCTCATTTGATCATCTCCACACAGACCAAAGGGAGTGGGTCAGACCAAAAACCTGGGACATGGCACAGTTGACGATCAGAGTGCACCTCAGTGCTCACTCCTGTGGCTGCACACACAGGAAGCCCATGGCCTCTGCAGAGTCTGCAAGTGCAGGGATCCCCTGCGGGGTGACACCTGAGCTATTTACAACCTGAACCTGGGCGACAGCACCTGATACCCTCTGCAGCCGGGTCCAGGCAGGAGGTTCTTACCTCTCTACAAAGATCGTCAACCACGCAGCCGGGTCTGGATCCCTCAGACCCTCTGGACACCCGACTCTCGCTGACTGGGGAGAGCAGCAGAGCTTGGGAACCAGGCTGATCCTGTGGGCACTGGGGCTGGTGAGCTGGGGCTGGTGAGCTGGAGCTGAACAGGCAGCTCCCACTGCCACGAGGAGTAAGCCAAGCTGTCTTGAATTAGCCTCTGAGCAGGTGATGCCAGAACGAAAAGCAACAGTCATGTTGGCAGCTCGCTGGGTAGAAAGTGGAGCTGTGAAGTCCCTTTCCAGCTCACTGCAGCCCAAGGCGGGACTCCATCTCCAAAAACCAGCGCACTCCCAAGACAGAGCTGTGTGTCAGGGGCAGAGGCAAACAATTCCCCTTGATACAGCTCTTGGTGCTTCGACCTTTCTGATCCCCAAACAATGAATTTTCCACTGAATTTTAGGAAACCACAAAGAAAATCCTTTCAGAAAAGAGGACTTGAGCCAAGGCGGTCTCATGTGTATGTGTGTGTGTGTATGTGTGTGTGTGTGTGTATGTGTGTGAAAGGAGCATGGGTAGGAGAGTAGCAGCCCTTGTCACACTGGCCAAAAAATGGCAGAAGTGGGCTGGCTGCGGTGGCTCACACCTGTAATTCCAGCACTTTGGGAGGCTGAGGCAGGAGAATCACTTGAGGCCAGGAATTTAAGACCTGCCTGGGCAACATAGCAAGACCCTGGCTCTACAAAAATAAAAATAAAAATTAGCTGGGCTTAGTGGCTCACACCTGTAGTCCCAGCTACTCGGGAGGCTGATACAGAGTTGTGAGGATCACATGAGTCCAAGAAGTTGAGGCTGCAGTGAGCTGTGATCATACTACTGCATTCCAGACTGAGTGATAGAGTGAGATCCTGTCTCTGAAAAGAAAAAAAAAAAAAAAAGAATCTCTATGTCAAGTAATCCTGTGTGACTTCTAAGGCTAGGTTATGAAAAGTGGTCCCTCTCTATCCCCTCTTCTTTTTCTTTCTCTTTTTGGGACATCCTCCAACCTACCTACCATGCTATGAGGAAGCCCAACTAGCCCACATGGAGGGGTCCCAGCCAACTGTTCTTAGTGGAACTGAGGCCCCCAGCCAACAGCCAGCATTGCCTGCCAGATGTACATGGGAACGAGTCTTCAGGTGACCCCAGCCCAGCCCTCAAGCTGCCCCAGCTGACACAGAGTAGGACAGAAGGAGCTGTCCCCACTGAGCCCTGCTCAAATGACAGATGTGTGAGCAGAATAAACGTGTGTTGTTTTAAGCCACTATATTTTGGAGTGGCTTGTTATGTATCAGATAACCAGAGCGGTGGGTACCCCAAAATGGTAACAAGGTAGGAACTCAAACCCTAGACCTGCCTGTGACATTAAAGAGACATTTATAATGTAGTGAAAAAAGACACAGGAAATGAAGCTGTGCTTCCAGTCTGTTCTCTCACCGCCCTTATTAGTGTCCCATTAGCTGTTTCCCTGCTAAGGGCCAGTGCATCTGGCCAGGCCTAGCTTTGGCCGTGGTCAAAAAAGTCAGTGCATCGAGTTCCGTAGAGCCACAGAAGCTGCCACAGAAGCCCAGCCTGTTGCAATCTGGGGAATTAGCAGGCTGGGGTTGCCCATCAGTATCTTCTGAGCACCCAGTGTGCCCTGTCACGGTGTTTGGATCAGAGAGCAGGGCTGCTTCTCTACGGCCGGATGTGGTGGCTCATGCCTGTAATCCCACCACTTTGTGAGGCTGCAGTGGGCAGATCACCTGAGGTCAAGAGTTCGAGACCAGCCTGGCCAACATGACGAAACCCTGTCTCTACTAAAAATACTGAAAATTATCCGGTCATGGTGGTGGGTGCCTGTAATCTCAGCTACTCTGAAGGCTGAGGCAGGAGAATTGCTTGAACCCAGGAGGCGGGGGTTGCAGTGAGCCCAGATCGCTCCACTGCACTCTGGCCCGGGACAGTCTCAAACAAAAAAAAGAAGTACTTTCTTCCCAGGGTGGCAGATGCCTGCGCAGGCAGAATGGGGCTGCCTCTGTCACTCCCTCTGGCTTGGCCGTGGCTGTCCACAGTGTCCTGCTGGGAGGGCCTCAGGGCTCCTGGGTGGACCGCAGCTGCCACCAGGCATTCACCCAACTGGGTGCTAAAGGAGCCTGGAGCTGGGCCTGTGTCTGTCAGCAGAGCAAGACGTGGTTCATTCTGCAACTGGCAGGTGCCAAACCTGAACCAGCAGGGTCCGGATGCCAGGATGCTGAGGCTCATGGGATACAGCCTGGAGAAGAGCTGTGTCCACAAGTACCCAGTTCAAGGTCCAGTGTAGTTGGTGTCCTCAGAGAACATGCTGTAGGGGAGGAGCCAGGAGAGAGGGCTCAGCCAGGACACTTTAGGAGGGGCAGCTTGACACCTGGGAAGGGTGCTATCAAGATGGGGGATGGGAGGGGCAATGGGAATGGAGGGGACATGCAGCACCGCACTGTGCGGGGAGCACAGAGGTGGGGGACAGCGATGCAAGGGCCGGGAAACTTGTCAAACAAGTTCCTATGAAGACAAACCCGGAGCATCAGGGCAGCCACCAAGCCAAAACAGCAGCTGGGAAGGCTTGGAGTCCCCAGAAGAAGCTCTTCCATGTGCTGAGGCTGCAGGATGTGGATGGCCAACTTCCCTGTCCCCTGATCTCTAAGCCTGACCACAGGGACCAAGCACGCAAAGCCTGAAGGACAGCTCCACCGAGCCCAGGGTGGAGATGGGGAGATGTCCCTGATGATGTGAGCATCCGAGGGTGGTGGCTCAGCCCCACCTGTGTCCCGCCCATGTTTTATGAATGCCACCTTCACAAGGACACTGCCCCTGACCCCCTGCGGTTCTCCCCTCCCAAGCCCGCCTGGTTACCCCGTCCAGAGCACAGCTGGGATCATCTCAGGCTGATTCGTGAGTCCTGCTGCTGTAGGTGTTCCTGGACACTGAATGGGATGGTGGGCGTCCACATCCTGCAAGCGGGGATGGGACACAGAGCCAGGTTAGGGGAGAGAGGGCGGCCTGGGGCCCCAGTGACAGCTGCCCCCTGTGACAGCTGCCCCCAAATCCCTCCTTCCACCCAGCTTAGAATCTTGGGGACTTTTCCTCTGGCAGGATACAGGACAAAGGCGTGGGTCATGGGGAAAAGTAGAGGCCTAGGAGGCCTGAGATTCCTTTCTGGTTCTGCAGCTGACTTGCTGTGTGACCTCAGAAAGGTCAGTTAACTGCTCTGTGCTTTATTCTCCTGTGCATCTTAGAAGATGTGAGCGATTGTGGAGATAAAATTGCTTAGAAAGAGTATAAAGTAACCAGTGTTGGGTATCATGATGACTTAATAAAAGACAAACTTGAACCATAAGAAATTGCCAATTTTACAGGTCAAAAATGGGTGGATGTCCGCAATCTCACATGGTTCAGCCTAATACAGTATTTTTTGAGCATTTCTGTGGGCCAGGTACTGATGTTATAAGAGCTTTGTGGGGCTTGATTAGCTTAAGCCTCACAAAATCTCTTGGGGTGGATATTGTTACCATCCCCACTTTACAGATGAAGACACTGAGGCCAGAGGGTGAAGTGTCTGCTCACCCAGGGTTGCAGACTGGTGAGGGCAAGAGCGTGATTTGAGCTCTGGGGTCACACTGGGCCACATAACTGGGGACCAAGTTGATAAGCCACCCGCCCAGGTTGCATGGACTTACGCCAGAGTCTCCACGTGAGGGCACTTCCGAAGGCTGGCGGCGAGCTGCTGGGCCCCGGCGGCCGTGAACTTGTTGTACTGAACGCTGGCGAGAGAAACTCACCTTGAGGCCTGGCCCTTGGGACCCCCCAGCTCCAGACCAAGGCCACCCCCACATCCAGCCCTCCCATGACACCAGGGAGAGAACCTCAGTGTCTCCCACGCCGGGCTGAGCCACCCACCGCCCAGGCTCCCACACTCACTCCATCACCCGGAGGGACACCATGTCAGGAAGCACACGAGCCAGGCTCTCGGCACCCACGTCGCAGATGCAGTTATTGTACAAGCTGTCAGAAACAGAGGCCAGGGGAAGGGATTGGAGGCCCGTGTGTGGTCAGCCTTCCAGAAGCCACCGCCCCGAGATTCCAGAAAAGGCCAGGTCCTGCCATCCTTCGGGGAAGGGAACCAATACTGATTGCCCACCAGAGCCTGGCCTTATGCCAAGTACTTACTCAGACCATTCGGAAGTTTCCCATTTTCCAGATATGAAAATAGAGACTAGAAATGAATACGTGACTTGCCCAGAGCTTCTTTCCCCAGATTCTGCTAATTTCCTTGTTCAGGGCTGTGGCGATTGCTTCTAGGGTCTCAGTGTCCCCTGCAGACTGAGGGTCAGCCTTGTGGGAATCATTGCCAACTGGGATTACTGTCCCATTTTAAAGATAGGCAAACCAAGGCCCGGAGAGTTGACGCCATTTCTCTGTGGTCACACAGTGAGCCCAGGAAAACAGCGGGACTAAAAGGAAGTCATGTCCTGCCTGACTGTGGGGAAACTCCCAGGAGAACAACTTCCCAAGTTCAAATCCCAACTATGCCTCTTACTGCCTATGTGTCCTTAGGCAAGTGACTCAATTCTTCTGAGACTCAGTTTGCCTATCTGTGAAATGGGCATGACGGAGTCATTGTGGGGAGGAGTAAATGAATCAATGCTGTTATAACACTTAGAATACATCTTGGTTCCTAGAATGAACTAAATGTTAGCTCTGGTTCTGACTACTTCACAGGAACATTGGTGAGGGTTACGTGAGTTAACATACAGGGTGTGACCAGCACTGGGGGTGGGAAGAGAAAAAGCCAGTCACTGGGCCAGCTTGAGTTTCTGTGGCATACTCGCAGCCAGCATTAGCAGCAGTGAAAATAGCATGATGGATGTCACCGATGCCAATTTCTGCTGTTTACTCAACACCGAGCAGCCTTTTAACAGGACAGGTGCTGCTGCGGGTATGATTTCAGGGCCATGAATTTGCCATGACTCAGTCTCAGAGCTGCCTCTCAGGGCTGCACATAAAAGCAGCAGGTCTAGTGGCTCACACCTGTAATCCCAGCACTTTGGGAGGCTGAGGCAGGCGGATCACCTAAGGTCAGGAATTTGAAACCAACCTGACCAACATGGCGAAACCCATTTCTACTAAAAATACAAAATTAGCCAGGCATGGTGTGCATGCCTGTAATCCCAGCTACTCGGGAGGCTGAGGCAGGAGAATTGCTTGAACTTGGGAGGTAGAGGTTGCAGTAGCCGAGATCATGCCATTGCACTCCAGCCTGGGCAACAAGAGCAAAACTCTCTCAGAAAAAAAAAAAAAGCTGCAGGTGTACACTGCTGCTAAGTGGATTCAGGCTAAATCCACTTGTACCACAGGTCTGCCAGTACCAGTGCAGAAACTAGATGGGGGTTTTGTGATCTCCGAACCCTGAACACCCTTCCTCCATCCCATGGGAAGAGTAATCTGACCATATTTCATTGATGCCAAGACATATATATCACCATGTGAATATTCGTCGAGATCAGAATGTGTCTTATAACCAAGAGCGCGTCACAGTTTAAAGAGCAGCATTTTGGTCTCATATTGGGGTCTTACAATGGATGGCATCTTATATTCCATGAAATTATGATGTCTCTTATAGTGTAAATCAGGCTGGGCATGGTGGCTCACACCCGTAATCCCAGCACTTTGGGAAGCTAAGGTGAGTGGATCGCTTAGACCCAGGATTTCAAGACCAGTCTGGGCCACATGGTGAAATCCTGCCTCTACTGAATACACAAAAATAGGCTGGTGTGGTGGCAGGTGCCTGTAATCCCAGCTACTCAGGAGGCTGAGGCATGAGAATCACTAGAAGCCAGGAGGTGGAGGTTGCAGTGAGCAGAGATTGCACCACTGCATCCCAGCCTGGGCAATAGAGTGAGACTTGGTCTCAAAAAAAGAAGAAAAAAAAAAAAAAAAGGAAAAAGTGTAAATTAGATCAGGTATCACCTGCACAGCTTCACAGGCCCACCTACTTTTCCATTCACACTGAAAAAAACTGCAAATGCCTCTTGTGACCCACAAGGGCCTCCCTGTGTGATCTGGAGGCCCCTGACCTCCCCTACCTCCACCATCGCCCACCCTCCGTCCCTCATTCACTCCACACAGCCACAGTGGCCCTTCTGACCCTCAAAACCCAGCCCCTTTTCCCACATAGGGCCTTTGCACCTGCTGTTCTTTCTTCATAGGGTCCTTTTCCCTTAGAGCTTCCCGCAAAAGAATCACCTCCCCAGAGGTCCTGTACCCTGCTGGGCCTTGTTAATTTCCTTCTCAGCATAAATCGCTGTTTTACAATCTTTTATTTATATACGTATTTAATTCTTACTATGCCAAGAAACCCCAAAGCAAGAACCGCATCTCTCTGGTTCACAGTTGTATCTCTAATTCCTAGTACAACTATGAACCAGACAGATTCTATTTTTGCATTTGAGTTTCTTTGCACAGCAAGAAGTAAGCACCTACATAAATAAAATATTGTAAAACAGTGATTCGTGCTGGGAAGGAAACTAACAAGGCTCAGGAGGGTAGAGGACCCAGCTACTTAGGAGGCTGAGGTGGGAGGTTTGCTTGAGTCCAGGCAGTGCTGTAGTAAGCCATCACTGCACCACTGCACTCCAACCTGGGCAAGACCCCCATCTCTAAACAAACAAACAAATAAATAAGGTGGCTGGGCACAGTGACTCACGCCTGTAATCCTAGCACCTTGGGAGGCCGAGGCAGGTGGATCACCTGAGGTAAGGAATTCCAGACCAGCCTGGCCAACATGGCGAAACCCCGTCTCTAGTAAAAATACAACAATTAGCCAGGTGGGCGCCTATAATCCCAGTGAGGCTGGAGAATCGCTTGAACCTGGTGGGCAGAGGTTGCAGTGAGTTGAGATCACACCAGTTTATTCCAGCCTCGGTAACAGAGCAAGACTCCATCTCAAAAAACAAGTTAATTAATTAAAAAAATAAAAAATAAATAAATAGTAATGGACCAAATGCCATGTTTCCTGGGAATCTGACTCTGGCTGTCCTCAGTAAGTGAAGAGCTCTGGGGAAAAGAAGGGAAATTTCTCCCAGCCTGGCAAGTGAGAAGAGCTGGTAATGCTGAGTTGAATGGCTGGTGCTCAGGTCCAAGCTCAGTCCTCTCTGTTGTCTCCAGGACCACACAAGGGCATGGCTGGGTCACTCAAAAGCAAGAGGTGCTATGCCAAGGCCTACCAGAAGGTGGCAGTGAAAGCACTGACCAACATATGAGTAACAAGGCCAGCCAAGACTGCCCCTGCGTTGTCAGCCTTCCAGAAGCTACCGACCCTAGATTCCAGAAAAAGCCTACTCCTGGCATCCCTGGGGGAAAAGGACCAATATTTATTGCACAACAGAACGTGGCATTGTGTCAAGTACTTACATGGACCATTGGAATGGTTCCCATTTTACAGATGTGAAAATAGAGGCTAGGAATGAATAAGTGACTTGCCCAGAGCTTCTTTCCCCAAATCCTGCCAGTCCTTTTGTTGAGAGCTGTGGTGATTGCTTCTAGGGTCTCGGTTCCCTGCCCTCCGCAGCCCCCCAGCTCAGCACCTGACCAGTAGCCAGGGCCCCACTCACCTTAGCCTGAGCAGGGATGCCGCGAGTGAAGGCAGGGCCTCCGCAAGTTTGCAGGCACCCACGTCAGTGATGCTGTTCTGGGATAAGCTGCAGGACACAGTGAGGGGGAGGGCTCAGGACCAGACTTGCATGCCTCCCTTCGACCTCCAGGAGAGTTCTGGGTCATAAGCTATGAATGGCACTGTCGATAGACTTAAACTACCTCTCAGTAAATAATACTGTTAGGTCCTGTGGCCAAGTTGGAGGGCAGAGGTGAGGACGTGGATGGGAGGGAGAGCCCATCCTCCTGCCTCCACCTGTCCTGTGATTTTTTTTTTTTTTTTTTTTTGAGCCAGAGTCATGTTCTGTCGCCAGGTGCCAGGCTGGTGTGCAGTGGTACGATCTCTGCTCACTGCAATCTCTGCCTCCTGGGTTCAAGCAATTCTCCTGCCTCCGCCTCCCAAGTAGCTGGGATAACAGGCACGCGCCACCATGCCCAGCTAATTTTTGTATTTTGGGTAGAGATGGGGTTTCACCACGTTGGCCAGGATGGTCTTGATCTCTTGACCTCGTGATCCACCCGCCTCAACCTCCCAAAGTGCTGGGATTACAGGGGTGAGCCACCGTGCCCGGCCTGTCCTGTGATTTTACAACATCCCCTCCTTTCCCTCTGCGCCACTTTTCAGCACTGTAATGAAATAAGGGCTGGTGTTATTTGTTTAATGGCTATGTCATCATTTCTGCTGGGTTGTGGGCGTCACATGGAGCGGGGCTGTATCTGTTTTGCTCATTACTGCATCTTCGTGCCTAGAGCACTGCCAGGCACATAGTAGGTGCTCAATACTTAAGGTGGCAGGTAAGAAAGGGAGGGAGGGAAGGACTAAAGAGGAGAAATCTAGCTTACAGTGTTACCTGGGACACTAGAAATTACTGGAGAAGTCCCAGAGTCCGACAATCAAGGAAAACTCCTAAGTCAATTCCCGTAAATTCGTTGCCATCGCAGGACTTTGGCTGTGAGGGGGAATGTGGGAAGATTTTGATATCCTCTAAGTTCCGCAAAAAATCATGTTCAGCTGGTTCATGCTCATGCCTGTAATCTCAGCACTTTGGGAGGCTGAAGCAGGCAGATCGCTTGAGGTCAGGAGTTCAAGACCAGCCTGGCCAACCTGGTGAAACCCCATCTTTACTAAAAATACACAACTTAGTCAGGTGCGGTGGCACATGCCTGTAGTCCCAGCTACTTGGGAGGCTGAGGTGGGAGAATTGCTTGAAACCAGGAGGTGAAGGTTGTAATGAACTGAGATCACTCCACTGCACTCCAGCCTGGGCTACAGAGCAAGACTCCGTCTCAAAAAAAAAAAAAAAGTCACATTGAACCAGGCATGCTGACTCATGCCTATAATCCCAGTATTTTGGGAGGCAGAGGTGGGAGGATGGCTTGAGCTCAGAAGTTCAAGACTAGCCTGGGCAACATGGTAAAACCCATTTTTTTTATTGAATACAAAAAAGTATATAAATTAGCTGGACCTGGTGCCTTGCAAGTGCCCCAGCTACTCAGAAGGCTGAGGTGGAAGGATTGCTGGAGCCTAGGAGGTTGATGCTGCAGGGAGCCATGATTACACCACTGCACTCCACCCTGGGTGACAGAGTGAGAACTTGTCTCAGGAAAAGAAAAAAATCACATTGATCCTTCTGTATCTTATCCATTTCCAACTTCCCAGAGCCCACAACAGTTTTTAAAAAGTCTTACTAGATGGGCACAGTGGCTCATGCTTGTAATCCCAGCACTTTGGGAGGCTGAGACGGGCAGATTGTGAGGTCAAGAGATTGAGACCATCCTGGCCAACATGGTGAAACCTCATCTCTACTAAAAGTACAAAAATTAGCTGGGTGTGGTGACACGTGCCTGTAGTCCCAGCTATTCAGGATGCTGAGGCAAGAGAATCACGTGAACCTGGGAGGTGGAAGTTGCAGTGAGCCAAGATTGCACCATTGCACTCCAGCCTGGTGACAGAGTGAGACTCCATCTCAAAAAAAAAAGTTTGACTGTTTTGATAATAATGCTTTATTGATAAATCCTAATCTATCTCTCCTATTTCACCCCTAGTATAATTTTCTGTCACTAAATATTAGCTGATTCAATGGGTGAATGAATGAATGAATGAACGAATAGAAGAATTGAAATGTCCTCTAGGGCTGGGCATGGTAGGTCACACCTATAATCCCAGCACTTTGGAAAGCTGAGACCAGAGGATTCCCTGAGGCCAGGAGTTCAAGCCTGTACAGCTCTGATCATAGCACCACACTCCACCTTGCGTGACAGAGTAAGCCCTTGTCTCAATAAAATATTTTTAATCATTTTTTTAAAAATCAGCTGGACTTTGGGGGTCAGATTCAGCAGGAAGGGCAGACCCAGTCCACTCACTTGAGGGTTTCCAGGGACTTCAGCTGGGGGAAGGTGGCTGAGAGCTGCGAGACACCCTCGTCCCCGATCTTGTTCTCGCTCAGTGCATCCAGGCTGCAGGTGGAATCAGATGGGGCCCATCAGCTAGCGTCCAGGGCGCCACTGGACCCTTCTCATCCCAGTGGGCCTCCTCAGCCCTGGCACCTGCCCTTCCCACCTCCCCAGCTCTAGATACGCCATCAGCAGCCAGCACACTCCTGAGCTTCTCAGACCAGGACTTCATCACCTGGAGGCTCCAACCAGCCAGCCAGCGGGCAAGGTCTAATTTGTGATGGCCACAAATCCCTGTTTAGCTTCTCGGGAATCCCCTGAAGCTGCACAACGTCCTTAACCTCCATTATCAAGTAGGATCAGGCTTCTCAACCCCTCCCCAGCTGAATTGCTGAGAGCAGCAAATGAGGCTGCGATGGAAAGAGTTTCAAAGGTTGCAAAAGGATCTATAGTTGTTTTATTATCGGGGATTCCCATGTGCTGTTTCTTCTCTGCAGTGGAGTCATCTCACCACTTGTGTGACAGCCACATTGAAGATGCAGTAGGCAGAACAGAGAAAAAACGGGACAAAGAGAGGGCTTTTTTCTCTGCACATGCCTTAGGGGCAGGGTTTGGGGTTGTCAAGCCGAAGAGGTTGCGGGGCACTGTAGCACACAGCTGGGGTCCCAGATACTCAGGAGGCTGAGGAAGGAGGACCACGTGAGCCCAGAAATTCGAGGCTGCAGTGAGGTATGATGGCAGAACTGCACCTAGGTGTTGAGGGGAAGGGGTCCCAGAGACTATACTCACTCCAGATGCTGCAGGGAGGAAAAGGCCACGAGGATCCGCACCAGTTTGGGGAAAGCCCGGGGGCCTGAGACAGGGCCCAGCCTAGGAGGCAAAGAGCAGAGGTAAGACCCTCAAACAGTTACAGCCCCTCATTCAGCCCATGGGTGGGGCAGAGACAAGGCACAGAAGTCAGGCCCTGCCTGAGGCCCCTCCTCCTCCTTTCCACCCCAGCCTCTTAATTCCCTGCGATCCTTCCACAGAGGACCCCAATCTCTTCTGCTGGGGGCAGATTTCACAGCCCCCCATCAGAGGCCTGCTGAGGCTGGGAACAGTGGCTTGTGCCTGTAATCCCAGCACTTTGGGAGGCCAAGGTCAGAGAATCGCTTAAGCCCTGGAGATCGAGACCAGCTTGGGCAACATAGCGAGACTGTCTCTACAAAAAATACAGTAATTAGCTGGGTGTGGTGGCATGTCCTGTGGTCCCAGCTTCTTAGGAGGCTGAGACAGAAGGATGGCTTGAATCCGGGAGGTGGAGGATGCAGTGAGCCACAATCCCACCACTGCATTGCAGCCTGGGTAAGAAGAGTGAGACTGTCTCAAAAAAAGAGGTCAGTTGGGCTCCCAGCTTGGGGCTCCCCAGCTTTTGTCTCTAAGTGGAGAGGAGATAGCTTATCCCTCCCCAGCCCGGGGAAGGAGTCCTTTCTGAGCATTTGTTATAAACGAGAGACATGCTGGGTCCTTCCCTCAGCCTAGATCTATCTCATTTACTCCTCAAGACTGAGCTATGGGCTTGTCTTATCTCCGTTTTACATATAGGAAAGCTGGGGCCCGGGGACAAATAGCTCACGCAAGATCACACAGCCTGGATCGACATTCAGATCAGACTTCAAGGGGATGAGAAAAACAAGGACAATGAAGGGCTGTTTTGTTTGGTTAAAAAATATGGTTAAATACATTCTACGTAAAAAATTGTCCTTTATTCTGCAGTTATGTCCTTTGAACTTTTTCAATATTAAAATGATAAATCTTTTGGTGCTGAAATATTACGGGGCCAGCAGTGGGCATTTTGCTGTTATTTGTGTGTTTGAATGAACATCGCTGATAAACAAAAAACAGTGACTGAGCATGGTTACTCAAATTCATTCTGAAATGTGCTCGGCCTCTGAAATCCTCAAGTCTGAGAACCAGTGGCCTCAGCAAAAGGCCACAGGATCAGAGGTGACTGCACGGTCTGCCACATGGTTCCCTGCTAAGAGCCTTGGTAGATCCCTTCACCTCTGAGTCTCCGTCTCCTCAAATAGTTACCCCCACTCTTATGAGGTTCTTGGATTAAGGAATTCATTGTTACATATTGACCGCTTGCCTACTCTGTGCCAGGCCCGGGGGGAAGGTTATGGGTCAAAGAGACAAAAATTCCTGCCTTCTGGGTGCTGACACTCCAGTGGGGAAGACAGACAGATAATCAAAGAAATATGAAAGTGAGCTGATGTTTGAGATGCTGAATCATTTGGAAATTTACAGCGGCAAGGTGGATGGAGTTTTTTTTTTTAAGACAGAGTCTCACTCTGTCACCCGGGATGGACTGCAGTGGCGCAATCTCGGCTCACTGCAACCTCCCTCTCCCAGGTTCAAGCAATTCTCCTGCCTCAGCCTCCCAAGTAGCTGGGACTACAGGTGCCTGCTACCACACCCAGCTAATTTTTTTTTTTTTTTTTTTTTGTATTTTTGTATAGATGGGGTTTCACCATGTTGGCCAGGCTGGTTTTGAACTCCTGATCTCATGATCCACCCACCTCAGCCTCCCAAAGTGCTGGGATTACAGGCGTGAGCCACAATGCCTGGCTGGAGTTTTATTTTTAACCATGAGGGTCAGAAAAGGCCTCACTGAGTAAAGACCAGAGGAGCTGAAGGCATGGGCTGGGCAAATATCTGGGGAGAAGTGTTCAGGCAGAGGGCATAGCCAGTGCAAAGGCCTGGAGCCAGGAGCATCCCTAGGAGGTTGAAAACCAGCAAGGAGTCCCTGTGGCTGGAATGGGGAGAGCACAGGAGAGAGTGTAGGGGATGACGGTGAACACGTGAGTGGAGACAGAATCGGAAAAGGACTCTGTGTACAAGTGGTGTCCCTGTAGTGTTTTGAGCGGCTGAGCAGCCTGATGTGACAGACAGATGAGGTCTACAGGGTGCCTTGAACAGTAGGAGCCAGAGAAAATGCCAGAAATAGTCTTTTCCTTCCTTCCTTCCTTCCTTCCTCAGAACCTCCTCGGGGGCTTCTGATCTCCGGATGGCTGGCCACCCGGCTCTAGGCTGTTCCACCCATGACATTTGTCCCCAGAGCACAGTTCCGATCTCGAACTAGGGGCTTTTTCTGCTGAAAATAATTTAAGGCCAGAAAGGGCCCTCGGTGATCGTTTTCAGACATTTCCCCTTTCAGCATCATCTTTACCTCTGCACAAATTTAGCACCTTGTCTCTGTTCAAAATAAGAGACACTGGCTTTTTATTCTGGGGCAGACGGGAAGCGGTAATTACGGGGAGCTGATAGCTTGTGGGTGACCAGCTGCGGGACCATGGGCAAGTCACTTAACCTCACCAGGCCTCAGTCTCCTCAACTGTAAAATGGGGAAGATGATGACTGTCTGTCTCTCACTGTAGCTCTTATATATGAAATGTACTGAATAGGCTGGGTGCAGTGGCTCATGCCTGTAATCCAAGCACTTTGAGAGGCTGGGGCAGGTGGATCACCTGAGGCCAGGAGTTCAAGACCAGCCTGGACAACATGGTGCAGCCCCACCTCTACTAAAAACACAACAATTAGCCAGATGTGGTGATGCGCACCTGTAATCCCAGCTGCTTGGGAGGTTGAGGCAGGAGAATCGCTTGAATCGGGAGGCAAGGATTGCAGTGAGCCAAGATTGCACCACTGCACTCCAGCCTGGGTAACAGAGCAAGACCCCATCTCCAAAAAAAAAAAAAAAATGCACTGAATATACCACAGGCATTTAAAAATTCCTTCCTAACCATTAGATGATCTAGACCTCTATCAAGGAACAAACATTCATTTAGCTTTTTCCATGGAAGGAGCTTAGGGCCAGGCTGACCTGACTTTTATGACTTTGGATAAACAATTTAAAGTCTCTTTTCTCAGTGTTGCCATCTGTACAATGGGGAGATGATGACAATCCATCCACAGGAGGATCACCTGAGATAATAGAGATGGAGGTGAGTTGCAAATTTAAAAGCCTGTTCTGTCCAGGTGCGGGGGCTCACAGCTGCAATCCCAGCACTTTGGGAGGCTGGGGGGGGGCGGAGGATCACTTGAACCCAGAAGTTTGAGACCAGTTTGGGCAATATGGCCCCATTTCCATAAACAATACAAAAATTAGCCAGGTGTGTTGATGCGTGCCTGTAGTTCCAGCTACTAGGGAGGCTGAGGTGGGAGAATTGCTTGAGCCCAGGGAGGTTGAGGCTGTGGTAGGGTATGATTGCACCATTGCACTCCAGCCTGAGTGACAGAGTAAGACTCTGCTTCAAAAAAGAAAAAAAAAAGGAAAGAAAGGGAAGGAAATGGAAGAGAAGGGAAGGGAGAGGAGGGGAGGAGAGGGGATGGGAGGGAGGGGAGGAGAGGGGAGGGAAGGGAAGGGGAGGGGGGAAGGGGAGGGGAGGGAAAGGAGGGGAGGGGAGGGGAGGGAAGGGGAGAAAAGGAAAAAGAAAAGGAAGGAAGGAAAGAGAAAGAAAGAGAAGAAAAAGAGAGAAGGAAGGAAGGAGTGAAAAAAGAAAGGAAAAAGAAAGAAGGAAAGAAAGGAAGGAAGGAAGGAAGGAAAGAAAGAAAGAAAGAAAGAAGGAAGAAAGAAAGGCTATGTTCCGACAGATCTAAATATAATAATTTCTAATAATTATTGTGCTCTCTTGGGGCCCATGTGTGGTAGGCTGCCCCCACTCAGACATAACTGGATTCCCTAGAGCCCTGCCTGGGTCTCCATTCCTGTCACCCCAGCAGCACTGCCTAGGATGTCGGCCCCCAGCCCTGGCTGCACATAAGGTGACCAACTATCCCCGTTTGCATGGGGCTGAGGGGTTTCTTGGGACACAGGACTTTCAGTTTTCAAACCAGGATAGTCCTAGACAAGTAGGGATGCTTGTTCATCCTAGCTGCACATCAAAAGCTCCTGGAATCCTTCAAACTGGAGGAAAGAGTCTTGCTGGGAGGTCATCCCTTCATTATGGAAGTAAATAAGCTCAGGCACAATGGCCGTGTGTAGTTCTGGTCACAGGAGTGAAAACAACCACATAGTCATAGTGGCATCTTCCTATGTAAGGTTGGGGACACATTGGGACCTTTTCTGATCCCTGACCAAATTATAATTCCTGAAAGGCCTTTCTTACTCCCCTTCTCCCCACTCGGCTCATTCTTTATCCTCACTGAAGCTTCAATGGAGGTATCACCTCCTCCAGGAAGTCCCCCTGACCTCTTCCAGAGGGAGGTTGATTAGACTGTCAGCTCATTGAGGACAGCAGCCTCAGTCATTCAAGTGCTCAATACATCTGTTGAATGAGTGATGGAATGACCATGTTAACCAGCAAATGGGTCCATTAGCTTCAAATCCTAGAACCTTCAGCATTTGCCCAGACTGGCCACTATCCAGCTGCTGGAAGCTATTTCCAAAGTGGTGGGAAAGAGGGCAAGAATGACCCTGGAGATCCATCTCCATGCAGGTGCTACAAGCCCAGCTAATGGTGCAGGGAAAACTTTGTGCAGACCCATGAGACAATCCACCCCTTTGCTTACGCAAACTCCAGTTTCTTTAGGTCCCGAACAGCAGGGAGCTCCCCAGCTGTGTCTTCTGAGGAACTTCTCGTCCTGGAGAGAACAGGCAATGTTAGGGGGAGCAGGCACTGCTGTTACTGAGCCCTTACCCACAGGTCCCATGAAGGCTGCCCCAGTGCCCCAATTGCCCCCGAGGGGGGTGGATTCCTTTCCTTGGGGCTGCTGCTGTCCTCCTGTTAAAAAAAGATCTGTCTGGGTGTGGTGGCTCTTGATTATAGTCCCAGCACTTTGGGAGGCTGAGGCAGGAGGACCGCTTGAGGCCAGGTGTTCAAGACCAGACTGGACAATATAGCAAGATCCCCGTGTCTACAAAAACTTAAAAAATCATCCTATTATTTCAGCTACTGGGGAGGCTGAGGCAGGAGGAATGCTTGAGCTCAGGAGTTCTGAAGCTGCAGTAAGCTATGACCACACTACTATACTCTAGCCTGCTAGACAGAGTGAAACCTTGTCTCTAAAAAATAATAAAAATAAAAATAAAAGATCTCAGGACCATATCTTTCATGGAAATGAGCCCAGCTTAGGCACTGAGCAGTGCCTATCCCAGACAGCATGTAAGTAGTGCTCGAAGAAATGTGTGATGAAGGAATGAATGAAAGACAGTTAACTTGTTCTGTAATCAAGTTTTGTCTGCCTTCTGGACCTTAGCTCTGCCACCTCTGAATTCAGGACAACGATTATCCTAAATGCTTCAGAGGGCAGCAGGAGGTGTCATTTCTGTTACTAGATACACAAGCCATCCTCGTTAACTCCTAGAAGGGGGAGGTTCTCCATGGCTGTAGCTAAGACTTGGGCACATGATGGCAAGTTATGAATGCAGTAGTTTTCAATCCTGGAGGGTCTGCCTAGTCAGCGAGAGGTTCTGGGTAGTCATTGCCCAGAAAGAGGGCATGGGGTATCTCAAAGAACAGGGGCCCCTGGAAATGCCCATGATAAATTTGATAATGAGTCCTACATGTCCTCAACCTGCATGGCCTGAACCACCTCCCATCCCCCTCTCCTTTCACCTCTGAGTCTGCACGAGCTTTCCCAGGTCTTCCACATCCTTCAAGGACTTGGCTTTGAAAGGCTCAATGGTGAACTTCTCCTCTGCTGCCTGAAGTAGCTTGGTCTCCCCATGCTGCCGCAGGGACTCCCACAGCGCCACTGTGTCACTCAAGGCAGCCCTGTGGAGGGAGGGCCTCAGACCCAGGCATGGTAACCAGGCTAGACCTTAATGGAAGGGCAGCTCCATAAGGGCCCTCTGACCTATTAAGATCTTTCCTTCCTTAGCTCAACCTTTACCTTTCCCAGAAAGCCTTCCATGACCACGTTAGCCTTTATTGAGTCCTACTTTCTTACAACTCTCATGGTGGTTTTCTTTCCCTTTTTGCTCTGGCTACCAGGAAGCTCACTGCCAAATTCTTGGCACAGTGATGTAGGACTTTACAGCTTCGGCAAAGTATGTTTGGGGGGGGGATATGGAAGCAATCTTCTGGAGATTAAGCTGAAATGCTTAAGCAGATTGCAGACCAACTTACTAAAGCCAAATTAAGGAATTTAGATTCATCCCAACAGTGGTGGCGTGTCCTTTAAGGATCATAAGCAGAGGATATAATAGGATTCAAGTTCTGAGATGATGGCTCTGGTTGCTGAATATCAAATGGAGTGGAAGAGGAAAGATTGGAGGCAGAGAGTCCAAGGGGAGGCCATGGCCTTACTGTAAGCAGGAAAAAATGGTGGCTTACTCCACAGGTGGAAAGAATAAACAAATTGGAGCCCAGGTCAATCTCAGATTCTAGCCATGTCCCAGTGAATGGCACATGGCAGGGTCTCAAATATTTATTGGGAGAATGCCACTGCCTCTCACTGGCTGTGTGGCTTTAGGCAAGTGGCTGCCCCTCTCTGAGGCTCAACATCCTCACCTGAAAAATGAAGAGAATCAGGCCAGGTGCAGTGGCTCACTTCTGTAATCCCAGCACTTTGGGAGGGTGAGGTGGGCGGATCACCAGGTCAGGAGTTGGAGACCAGCCTGACCAACATGGTGAAACCCTGTCTCTACCAAAAAAAAAAAATGTTGGTGCACACCTATAATCCCAGCTACTCAGGAGGCTGAGGCAGGAGAATCACTTGAATCCAGGAGGTGGAGGTTGCAGTGAGCTGAAACTGTGCCCCTGCACTCTAGCCTGGGCAACAGAGCAAGACTCTGTATCAAAAAAAAAAAAAAGAAAAAAAGGGAGGAGAGAATCTATTCCGCCCCACCCCGCTGCTGTGCATACTGAAACTCCTCAGAGTGAGCACTGGGCTTGACATCAAGACCACAGTTAATGGCCAACACAAGCTTGCCCCTTCTCCTGGCCCCTGCCCCCACCTGAAATGCGTGACACAGCTGAGTCCCACGAGGCTCCCCAATCCCGAGGGGTCAATGCCAGTGCTGCGGAGATCCAGGGAGAAGTCTTGGCCTGCCGCCTCCAAGGCCTTGCCCAATACATGTGCATCAGGAGGTGTGAGCCGGGTGCCCAGAAACGAGAGGCGGGCGGGGAGCTCCTGCACCACGTGCCGCCAGATCCCAGCCTCCTCGGCCTCGTGGGCGCAGTGCAGCAGCTCCAGCAGCTGACGAGCCCGCAGTGTCCCCGGCTGCAGCCGCTTCAGGTACTTCGCAAGCACTTTCTGCTTCTTGTCTGCCAAAGCAGCCGCCGATGGCCCAACCAGGGCTCCCAGGCAGCGAGTGGGAGGCTGGAAGATCAGCCCTGCCAGAAAGCGTGGCACGCCCTCCAGCCAGTTGTCATAAGGCCTCTTCTTCCTGGGGGTCAATGCTAGATACTGCGGGAGCTCCTTGTCCTTGATTTCGCCGCTAAGAGCCAGCCACATGGCCCCCAGGAAGCACTGCAGGAGGAAGCTGCAGAAGGCCAGCTCGGACGCTGTGGCCCCCGGCGGGTGCTGCACTAAGCCTTTGGCCACTGCCCAGGTCCTCACGTCTGCGGATGGGAAGTGGTCCTCCCGTAGGGTACTTTGGTGTCTACGGCCCAGCTCCCAGGCCAGCTTGGCCAGCTCTGCCAGGGCCCCTGGGGGACCGTCGCGGGCTGCAGGGCCCAGCAGGCCGACATAGAGCCCCGTGAGTGTGGAGGGCAGCTCGGCGTCCTCCCCCAGCTCCAGCAGGGCCTCTGAGAGCTGGCACACTGCCTGGCACAAAGTGGGGCTGTGGCCATGACTGAGGAGAAATGGCTGGTCCCGGAGGAGCGCCAGGGCTCTGTCTTGGTGCTCGGTCTTCCCTGAGCACTCAAAGTATCGCATCACATAGGCCTGGGCCTGCTCCATGGAGAAGCCGGAGAGCTCAAACAGGGCATCGGCCTTGCTCAGGCTCTGGGTCAGGCGGCCCCGAGGCCGGGTGGTGAGGAGGAGGGTGCAGCCTCGGAGCAGCTTCCTCTGGAAAAGGCCGGCCAGCAGCCCTCGCAGGGAGCAGGGCTCTGCGGGCGCCGGTCCGCAAGTGCTGTGCAGGAAGCCATCTTGTGCTTCCAGCTCCTCAAAGGCGTCTAGGATGAGCAGAACGCGGTCAGGCCTCTTCAAGATGTGGCTGAAGACCTCATTGTCTGCCACGAGTGGCCGTGGGCCCAGGGAGAAGAGCAGGTCCTGCAGGCGGTAGGCATCGCCTGGACGGTTCAAGCAGTGGCAGGGGACAGAGAAGACGAAGTCGTACTGGGGAAGCCGGCCACAAGCCCAGGCCCGGCTCACTGCCCCAGCCCAATAGCTCTTGCCCTGACCAGCCTTGCCCAGCACAGCAATCACTTGTGTCTCACGCGGCCGCCGGCGTTCCCTGGCAGGCAGCAGCACCTCAGCCAGGCCTCCATGGGCCAGCTGCCGCTCTGCCCAGTCTGGTGTGGCGAGTTCCCGCTCCAGGCTCTTGCTGCTGCTCCTCTCCAGCTTGGCACGCACCAGATCCGCCTCCACCAGGATGCCATCCGGGCCTGCAGGTTCAGTCTGATATGTTTCTTGCAGCAAGCGGTAGAACTGCTCCACTGACTCTGCAAAGGCCAGGGGCATGTCAGGGAAGCGGGATGTGAGAGGCAGGGCCAGGGCTCGCCTCCACGAGGCCAGCA